CCCAGCCAGGGCGCCCCCAACCTGCTTCTCCAGCCGCCCACCACGTTGGCGACTTTGCCCCGCCGTCCCCTGGGGTCCCCAGCCGGGTTCTCCAGCGCGCCCGCCTTCTCCTTCCTTCCCGTAGCCCAGACGGAGCGGAATGAGTAAAACCTCTCGCTGCAGGCGTGTTTTACACTTTTCCTTCTCATTCAATGACAAAAGAGCTTTGCTATCACCAGCACGGCAGCTTAACTCCTTCGTGCCCGGGGTCCCCTCCTTCCAATCTGGGCAGAAATGAAGGGGGGGCAAGCTTTGTCCCCAGATAACACCCTCCTCCCCCCCAAAAAATACCCCCTCTGGATTGTGACCCTCAGCTGTGCCCGATTCCTCTCCGCGGCAATCTCAGGAGCGGAGTCAAACGGCTGGCGCTGACAGTGGCATGAATGACGCCTGGCACAGCGCCAGTCCAGCGCTAACCCTGGTTTCCCACGGTGCCAAGTGCTTTCTAATCCAGGGGGGGGAATGCCAACCCCCCCAATCATTCCAAGCAATTTGCTCTTTTTAAAAAAAAAAACAAAAAAACTTAGATGACCAATTCCATGACTTTATTCGTCCTGCTGCACGCCCCCCCCCGTTCTACAGCTATCTATTCCAAAGAAATTCAGCCGTGCCAGACACTGTAGGTGTGTGCATGTATATGCGTATGTTGAGTGTGTGTATATGTGTGCGCGCATCGGTGTGGGTGTGGCTGTGTACATGTGTGTATATGCGTATGTTGAGTGTGTGTATATGTGTGTGCGCATCGGTGTGGGTGTGGCTGTGTACATGTGTGTATATGCGTATGTTGAGTGTGTGTATATGTGTGTGCGCATCGGTGTGGGTGTGGCTGTGTACATGTGTGTATATGCGTATGTTGAGTGTGTGTATATGTGTGTGCGCATCGGTGTGGGTGTGGCTGTGTACATGTGTGTATATGCGTATGTTGAGTGTGTGTATATGTGTGTATGTGTATGTTGAGTGTGTGTATCTGTGTGTGTGTGCGCATGTGTGTGTGCATGTATGTGTATGTTGAGTGTGTGTCTGTGTATACTTTAAATATAGATATAATTTGTACAGTTTTTATGTTTTCTGTAATTTTATATATATTTATTGTTTTAATGGATCGTGTGAGCCAGCCAGAGTCCCCCATTAGGGGGAGATGGGCAGAGATAAATCTAATAAACAAACAAACAAACAAATGGTTGTTTTTTTTAAAGTATATACCCCGAGGCTTTCAAATCTTCTGAAATGTTAAATGGCATTCCCCTGCTATTTTATTCCAGGATATTTTCCTCTTCCTCCAAAGGCCTTCGAACAGTGAACATTGTCCCCTCCTTTTTTTTAACGAGATCTGCACAACCGCCCTACGAGGTAGACCGGGCTAAGGGAGAATAGAGCAAGACTGTTGGCTCAACCTTTGCAAGGCAGTGGCTGAATTCGAGCCGCCACCAGAAAAAGGGGGCTTTTTTCTTGACAGTGTTTAACCTTCCAAAAGAGGAAAGAAGAGAGAACAGGAGTTAAATTTAAACGGACGTGTCCGTGCGCAAATCTAAAAATGGCATGCAGCTCTGCAGACGTGCAAGAAAGAGCAGAAGGGCTGTGAAAATCCGTGAAAACATGTACGCCGGACTCCTGCCTGATCTGGATCTATTTTTTTAAATTCTTTGGAAAAAGGAAACGGGCTGGAGTGTTTCAAGCATCGTGGTCCAAACTTTGCGCCTACAGAGGAAACAAGGGAAAGGTGTGATCTGGGCCCACTGAAAAAGGGGGGGGGGAAAGAAATTGGAAATGGGGGCTGCGGATTCAGCTAGCTTTTCCTTAGGAAAATTCCAGGAGCCACTGCCCCCAAACAGCTTTGAAAAACTGCTAGAGTTCAAGCAACGTTTTACAAATTTACCTGATCGCCAGGGCGAGCGGAAATTTCGTACAGGCGAGCAGAGAACTAGGTTGGCCGGGCTCTTTAACAGAAAGACCAGAAAGATCAGATCTCTCCAGGTTTGGTTTCAAGGTAAGGAAATTGGAGGCGTGAGAAAATCTGGAGATTCTGAAGAAGCTGGATCCAAAGGTTTCCCTCCAGCTCCACAATTTTATGAATTTTTTGGCGTGTCTTTGCTCGTTTCAAAATTCTCTTATACAAAGCTGCAACCAGGAAATCGATTTTCTCTTCTCTGGCAAGCAGCATAGAAACAACAACGCTGATAAAATCATTGGAAAGCAGGTAATATCAGTGGGCTCCTTTGTAGGAGTTTGCTAAAGCCACTGTGTATTTGGGATTAGGGTTGATTATTAATCCAGCATCCTGCTGACATTTTTGCTTTAGTTAAACAGACTTCTTTGAAAATGGAAAAGGAGTCAAAACAGCAGGGCTGACTAGATTTTCCAGGACTTTAACACTCCCCAGTCTGATTAAGGACTTTAACACTCCCCAGTCTGATTATCCTGCAACAGAACTTTTAAATTGCTCTGATTCTCGAGGGCCGCTTACAAACGATGGGTTTCAAAAAAGTGATGCATTTTCCGCTGCTCCTTTCCGTTCTTTTTAACTGCAATTTTTGAAAGGCAGATTTATTTTTAAAAAGTTTTAAAACGTCAGCACGATGGGGGAGGAACGCGCTCTGGATCCGAGGAAGTTTGCTTTGCAAAAGGAAAAAAAAGAACTCCAGCAAATTACATCAGGAATAAATTCCAACCCTTATTTTCGAGTTGTTTTCCTATCAATCTTCGCCGGAGCCTGCTAAGTTTTCCACGCAGGTCAAATGGGATTCTAAGGACCCTTAGCGGGAAATCAATGAGATGGATGATTTACTTCTGAGTAAATATGCATAGCAGGTTCAGTGCACATCGGTGCACTAAAACGGGCGGAAAATGGGTGGCAAACACACTTTCCCAGAGCGCTAGCTGGCTTCCTAGGAAACATGCACAATTTTGCTTTTTGAAAACTCTGGAAACTGCTCGGAGGAGCGAGTGGGAATCGTGGAATTTAGGAATTCTCCAGCGGTGATTTGCAGAGGGTTCATCCAACCGGGTGCAAAATGTTTGGAGGCCGATTCCCAGGGATGGGCTCCAGGTCCAGCCGACAGAGATCATTCTTAACCTGGGCATCCTGTTCTTGAGAAAATGCAAAATATATCCACTTTTGCAGGCAGGGAAGATGTCAAGCCATCATCAGGCCAGGTTTGGGGGGGATCCATCCTTTGCTTGGGGCCCCACAGCCCAGGTTCTGTGATGGGAGCAGCAGAAATGCTACCTCTCCTGGCCCTTCTCCTGTTAGGAGATGGTTGGAAGAACAAAAGCGCCCCCTTCAGGACAGGATTTTGCCCTGCACTGATTTCATCCAGAGGAAGATGGGGAAAAAAAATTAGATTATGCACCAGGGCACCAACAGGAGATCCCACAAGGAGAGCCAGCCCATCTGGAGTTGAGCCAGCTTCTGGATTCCGCTGAGTTCTTCCTTGGGCTTTGGGGCTGTCAGTAATGCAAAAGTCAAAAACTTAAATGCAACAATAATCTGCAAAGCCCCAAACTCAAGCACGAAGGAAAGAACTTTATTTAATTTATCTGAATTTAGGTTGAATTCTTTTGGAGAATTGAGAGGTGGAAAAAATGCAAGGCTAGCAGAGGATGGTTTCGATCCATCGACCTCTGGGTTATGGGCCCAGCACGCTTCCGCTGCGCCACTCTGCTGCTCTCGAACAAACATATCCATCGACCTCTGGGTTATGGGCCCAGCACGCTTCCGCTGCGCCACTCTGCTGCTCTCGAACAAACATATCCATCGACCTCTGGGTTATGGGCCCAGCACGCTTCCGCTGCGCCACTCTGCTGCTCTCGAACAAACATATCCATCGACCTCTGGGTTATGGGCCCAGCACGCTTCCGCTGCGCCACTCTGCTGCTCTCGAACAAACATCTCTTTCCAAGTGATATGAAGAATGCACATGCGCACTAAAGAATAGTTTCTAGTTAGCATTCTCGTTTTCAACACGCCTCTTCCCTCTTGGCCGCCGCCGAAGCTCAGGTCTCCCCGCCCGCGCATGCGCCTATCGTTCGGGATGCCCCGCCCACACCTCCCCTTCCGATTGGTCACACTTCCCGCTCCCCACCTCCCCATTGGCTAACTTCCTTCGACGCCCCTCGGTCCAGAAGCGGCGTTTCGTGGAACAGACGGGCGGAAAGAACCAATGGCCTCCCAGCAAAGGGCGGGAAAAGCTGGCCCGCTAACCCGATTGGCCGACGCGGGACAACCGCGAGGGCAGCCAATAGCGAGCCCGCTTCCTCCGCCGCGGAGCCAATAGCGGAGGAGCTTGTTGCGAAGTGGGCAAAGCGGCGGGTGCTCGAGGAGGCCGGGT